AAAAAAAAAAAAAAGGGGGGGGGGGGGAAGAAAAGCAAAGCCAACGGGTGCTGGTGGGTGGGTGTGTTAGTGCAAGCAGTGTGCGTGTGTGCATGTGCATGGGTTTGGTGACACAAAACACAAGCATGCGAGTTTCTGCCGGTGCCTGCGCTCTCCACAAGCTCGGTTTTAAATCTTTTTTTGATGGCAGCTGAGTTGAAGATTCGGTTTCAGTTGACTAAGCGTGGTGAATGAGCGCAGTCAAGTCTGGAGGGATAAAAATCCTTGCGGCGATTAGGAAAGCTATTTTATTCCTGATCACTGTTCTATTATCTTGGGTCATCTAATCTGTCGGGATGGCTTTGCCTATTACATTGTGTTAAGTAGGACTTGGAAGGTCAAGCAGTTAACTAACCATCTAAATAGCAATGGTGGGGCCAATTGTTGCCTCCAGTGCTTTTCCTCTCCCCACCCCCAGACAACTATGCATTAATGGCCGTGTTTAGTCCTCATTGCATCTTAAAGATGCAATCTGGTGCTGAGCAAAAGGGAAGAGAAAAACCAGCCCCTTGTGAGTCTAAAAGGAAGTTTTTTGCAGGGCAGAGGCTGAGAACTCCCCCCTCCTCACCCCTTTTATTTGTTTAAAAAGCCTCCCCCTTCCTTCTCCCCTCTTCCCAGGCCAGCATCCCCTGCATCAGCCATCTCCCGTCCCCCCTTCCCTCCTCTTCCCCCTGCCACCCTGCTTTTTGGGCTGTAGCCCAAGGTACACAATGCTTTCTGTTTAAAAGAAAAGCTGGCAGGACAAAAAACAGTTGAGTCTTCACTTTGCAGTGATTTCCTGTCATCCGTGTAGAGCCGACTTTCACAGCGCAGAGGCCACAAATGGGCCTTTTGAGAGTCAAATGCAGATGGAAATAAAAGTGCCATTTAAAAGGGGGGTGGCGGGAGGGAGAGGAGGGTTGTCCATCATTAACCTGCTTGTTAGGATCCTCAAGAGCAGTAAAGGGGGGTGGGTTGCTACATGAGAGAAATGTTTCCTATATATATATATATATAATATATATGTGTGTGTGTGTCTTAAAAAAAAAAAAAAAAAAAAAACCCC